TTTTTTATGTCCTCATCTCGGGGACATTGGTAAATGACTCGTCGAGGAAACGTCTGGTTTTCGTTCAATAATCGATCTTTTCATAAAACACCTTCGGGATTGAATTCCCATCGTCGRCCGCAATCTTATTTCATTATTTTCCCAATGTATTTCAGATATTTGGGAATTGGACGTTTGTATTGAACGTTAAAATTTGCGGGATCCGTTCGTGCGTCGACGGCCCATTTCAATCCCGAAGACGGCGTTGGAAAAGAACCGAAACGGTTCTATCGGCTGATTCCCCGATTTTGTCCCCGCGAGTCGGTCTTCGAATTGCCCCGCCATCCRAACAACGATAGACTCACTAGGCCGTCATGCGCGGGCAGTATTATTTCACCAGCGACTAGGGATGAGAAATATGAATCAGTTGAGTGAATTGATTCTTTTGATTCAATTCAATTAAGTGAATCGATTCATTGTATCGATTCAGTGATTCATCTCGATTCAATGAATTACTCATCTAAAAGTATTCAGCCAAAGTGAATTAAGACATGATTGATTTACTTAGCTGAATCTTTTGATTATAACGTAATTACGTAAACGTTAAATAAAAATAAAAGAAAGCGTCATGACGCTATAAAACATTATTAGATAAATACAAAGATCGAATGGATAATGATGTTTAAAAAAAGCGTCTCAACCTTAGTTGTGATCAGGATGTGATATAGGGCTTTGCGCATTATCATGATGTCAGCCCACTATTTGTTTTCTCACTCTGTCCCACGTTCAACATTGACAAAACGCATTTACACAGAATCATTTTTTATGAGTTTCAAAGTAATCATAGAGTAAAATCACCCATTACAAAAAAGATAAAGAAGAATATTTTTGAGGGAATGACATATCGATATTATAATTTATTGTTATTTTTGAATTTTTGTTTGAMTTTAATAATAAACAAAAAAGTATTGTAAATTTAAATTTTTAAATTTTTTTTATAATTTAAAAAAAATCATGTCATTCCCTCAAAAATATTATTGTTACTCATTTTATACGTATTACCTAAATATCAGTAAAAATAATTGAAAAGAAATTATAGATATTAAACATATGGATATTTATCTATGTTGTGTATAGCTATTGAAGCCAACATGGCATTGCGACTTAAAAGAACTAAAGAATAAAAACTTGAAATATTTTTCCAATAAGAAAATATTATTATTACAATTTATGAAAAATGCATGATATATACCTACTAATTGAGTACAACGAAACGACTAATTTAAATACATTTATGGAATAACTTTGTCAAATATCAATACAATTAGCTACCAACTAAAATATATTTAAATATATAAAAGTAAATTGGTTATGAATCATCACTTGTAAAAATATTTATAATTTATATATTTTTTATATTGAAAATAAATTCAGTTGTTTGATTGACAATACTTTGGTTTTTATTTTTTTAATTGCTTACTTTTGCACAATTGCAATACTTATATCACAACTCAGTTGCCATCATGAAAAAGCGACCAAGAGAAAAATATAAAAATTGCGCAGTTATTAATTATAAAATTGTTCACTTGATCACTTTTTGCATGACGACGACAAATAACTATAATACTTAATGTAGAAAAATTATTGAGGAAGTCAGAACATCTTGAGATATGGTGTATGTTATTATTTTATATTAATAAAATATTCTAGTCTATACCTAATATMTATTTTTACATYAAAATCATTTATTCCATATTATAATAATAATATTACAGAATATACATACAWAATTATGTCTTTGGTTACATACATTAAGCAGCATGATTAAACATGTTCATGCAGGTTAGATTTGTTTGATAGATGCTTTTAATTTTGTTTATATATTTTTTAAATAATCATCATTCACAACACACCAGTGACCACTGAAGTTTGTGCTGTGTCTTGTCAATTCATATTTTTTGAATACGTTTTTGTATTAAGTTAAAATTACAGGTGTTTTAATTACATTGTTTTTTTTTTTTTTTATATAAAAATGAATCGTAAGACCAGTGTAATTTGGGATTATTTTACAGTGATTGAAAGTGATAAAGCTAAGTGTGGATTTTGTAAAACAGTGCTTAAATTTAATCAATCTTTGACAACTAATTTATTAAGACATATAAAATCTAAACATCCAACAACTGATTTGTCCAAACGTTCAAGACCTAATTTTTATGTGGAAGAAAATAATCCAGATGATCCTTCTAGTAACAATRGCAATCTATCAGCATCAACATCTTCCAATACTGGTATCGTATCAACTTCAACATCTAATAGAGATAGATCTCCTCTTCTTCATYAGCCGTCATCATCAAGTCGTCCACACCAATATAAAATTTCTAATTATTTCAGTAAACCAGTAACTGCATCAAAAAGGCAATTARTTGACCAACAGGTAATTAAAATGATAGTCAAMGAATATTACCCCTTTAGTATCGTTGAGGATGTTGAATTTATTAAGCTGGTAAATATGTTGAACCCTGGTTACTCCCTTCCCTCTAGGAAAACCCTTTCAACATCATTATTGCCTGTTCTTTATAATCAAATATATAAAAAAGTTCAATTAGATATTGAAGTTAATGCACRGTATGTTGCCTTAACTACAGATGCGTGGACATCACTTAAAAATGAGAGTTATACGGCAATTACTGTACACTTTATAGATCAGAACTAAGAACTAAAATCGTATTTACTTTCATGTGCAAAATTTCCAATGAGACACACAAGTGAAAATATTAAAGATTATCTTCAAAATATTGTARGGCAATGGGGTTTGCAAAATAAAATAGCAGCTTGTACAACCGATAATACTTCAAATATAACTTAAGCGATTCGCTTATGTCAGTGGAGACACGTTTCATGCTTTGCCCATAGCCTTAATCTTATCGTTCAATCTTCTCTGGAACAAATCAAAGAAACTAGAGTTAAAGTAAAGAGCATTGTCGAGTATTTTAAAAGAAGTGCACTAGCCACTGAAAAATTAACCCAAATGCAGGAACAATTAGGATACTCACCAGTCCATACACTTATACAAGACGTAGTTACCCGTTGGAATTTTACGTTTCATATGTTCCAACGATTCTTTGAATTAAAAACTCCTATAGTGTCTTCCTTAGCAGATCTTAATTATAATGTCAGTTTAACTTCAGAGGATTGGCAGATAATAAGTAAATCTTGCGATATTTTAAAACGATTTGAAGAAATAACYCTTGAAATGAGCAGTGAAAAAGGAGTAACAGTATCTAAAACTATTTTATTTAGCCAGGCATTAATTAATTTTTGTAACAAACTAATGAGCCAACATCAATCAATTCCATGCATATACAGCTTTATACATAAATTAAGTGAGAAACAAATAAGAGATTTGGTCAATTAGAAAAGGATATGCTGTTAGCTGAGGCGACATTTTTGGATACTCGGTTCAAAAAATATGGATTCAAAAATAATTTTGCTTTTCAAGACACCAAAAAATCTATTGTCAACAAAGGAAAAATTATAATCAGGGGAAAAAATTTACAGCAACGTAACTTGACAACTTACCCGATTCCACCGACAGCGAGTAATAAAGAAGATTCAATCTGGAACGACTTTGATTTGGAAGTTACTGATATAGTTCAGTCTCAGGATCCAAAAGCGTTGATGATTATCGAAATAGATAAGTTTCTTCAAGAACCTTTAATTGCAAGATCAAATGATCCATTAAAATGGTGGAATGAAAACAAAAACATTTTCCCTACTTTGTTTGAAATAATGAAACGGCGTTTTTGTATACAAGGTACATCTGTTCCGAGTGAACGTGTGTTTTCCAAAGGTGGACAAGTTGTAACTGAAAAACGCAACAGATTATCAAGTAAAAGAGTTGAGCAAATAATTTTTTTAAATTTCAATTTAAAATAAATTACACCATTTTATTATAATACTTCATTATTTTACACTCAACAGTTGATTATAATTATGTGATTATAAGAATAGCATACTTAGTACTTACCATAACTTGTTTAATTGTTTTTGATTCTAAGTCAATAAGGCATAAATATTTTATTAAATAAATAACTAATTGCATGATATAATAAACTTTTTATATCATGACTTCATACAAAATGTTGTTAAATTTGTTTGTGATAACTAATAAATAATAATGATAACACGGGCAAAAGTGTGTTTGTCTTACGGCGTTTTCAATGTTTTCATGAACATATTATAACAAAATGAACCATAGATATTATACAATCAATTACCTTTTTTTTTT